CGTGGAGGAGGTGGGACCTGCAGCCGGGGACAGAGAGGGACCGCACGCCCCTGCCCCCAGGAGGGCGGGGTCGCAGGGCTGGGGAGAGGAGATCCCGGCCCCCCGCCCTCGCGTGTTCTGTTCCCGACCAAGCGCCCAGGGCGGCGGCGAGGGCAACGCCCTAAGTGCCTGTCCCCTCTGGGTCTGTCCCCCCTCCCCAGGACATTCACTCTACAGCAACGTCCTCCCCAGACCCCCGAGGGTCCCGAGGAGGAACCAGGCCTGGCCGGGGAAGGGGCTGGACACGCCCAGGGCCGGCCGGAGGGTCCAGAGCATCTACTCAACCTCATTCCCCAGCCGGCCTGCCACCTGCCGGCCCCCTGGGCCCAGCTGCCGTCCCAGGCCCAGCCACCCCGGTGCTCCGGCCGGGGTCTCTCCTGGCCCCGGCCCAGCTGGGCAGCCTCGGCCCACGGGGCTCCCCAAAGGTGGAAAAGAGCCAGGGGCCCCGGGAGACACAAAGGGGACCCCCTGTGGCTACATGAAGGTGTAACTGCTTCTTAGGGGGGACCCAGAGCCCAACATTCTCATTTTTAAAAAATGTTTTGTAGAGCTGGGGTCTTGCTAAGTTGCCCAGGCTGACCTCGAACCCCTGGATCCTCTCGCCTCGGCCTCCCAAAGTGCTGGGATGACAGGCGTGAGCCACCACGCCCCGCTGTCCTCCTTTCTGGGACAACATAGCTCCCTCCTGCACCCAAAGAAAACTCAATAAAGGCTTGTAGAGAAAGGCTAGGACTTGTCGCGATTTGGCAGTCCCAAAGAGATTTGAGGCTTCATTCGGGGGTCCCAGAGCCCCCAGAGATGGCTGGAGCGGCCCCCTGTGGCCAGGGGGCTTCTATGACAATGTAGTAGCTCCCCCACCCCATGCTTGTGGGGACACGTCCGCAGCAGGGCAGGCGTGCCCCCCCTCCATCTCGGAGCCCCCCCAGCCTGGCTGGTATCCCCCCAGGCAGGCCAGAGGACAGGGGGTGGGGGGAAGGAGGAGAGGGAAGTCAGGGGCTCCCTGGTGTTGCCCAGCCCCTGGGGTCTCCTGCCCGACGGTCACCTTGACGTGACACCAGCTGGGCCTGCTCCCCTCCCCCACTTCTCCGTTTCCATGGGGACAGATGTCCTTTCTGCAGATCCAGCCGGGCTGCCGGGCGGAAAGGCGGGGCTGGCCCGAGCGCCCGGCCTCCTCGGGCTCTCCGTCTTTGTGTCCGCCGCTTTCTCCTGTCCGGGTTTTTTGGGGCCCGCCTACCTCTCCCACCTCCAGCTCCCGGCCCTGGTCTCTCCCCGTGGGAGACTCAGGCTCCATCCCCCAAACAGAAAGCTAGGGTCGCCCTTGTCACCACAAGGGCGTCCGTTGCTCTGTCATTCTTCCAAGGGGCTGGCGCCTCCGGACGGCCCATGGGTCCCTCGCCCTGGGTGGCCATTTCACAGACGGGGCCCAGGCCGGCCGGAGGGGCCGGGGGCC